CAGGAGGGCGGGTGTCTCTGACTTGCCAGGGTTGGGATGGGGGAGATGGTTCTGAGAGCCCCGCATCTGTGGAAAGCTCTTCCCACGGTCCAGCCTCTGGCTCTAATGCTTCCTGCGGCCAGATGCACTGGACCAGCGGCCGCCAACCGGTAGTCCGTGAGGCCTGAAAGGTAGGCGACCGCTGCACTGGACGGATGGCACAGTGCTTTTTTCTTACACACGTGTCTTATTTCCCTAGTTTGGTTGCAGGTTTTTGTGTGGGTGTTCTTGTTGTTATTGTTGCAGGTTTTTTGAGGGAAAGAGGGGTCTATCTTTGAATTCCCCCAAACTGCCTAGCAGAGTGTTGGGCACATGGTAGATGCTCAATGAATATGTGGCCTGCCTGGGCTTTGGCCCGAGATAGGGTGAGTGTGTGCCTTAGTGGGTGGGAAGGTTGCCACTGTCCTCAAACACCCGTTCCTGGCAGTGTCCCTTCATTCTGGCAGCGCCAACGTCCTGTCTTAAGCCCAAAAAAGCTGGGTTCCCAAACTCAGGGAAGCCAATCACATGTAAACAGCCACCTAATCCTGTTCTTATTCCACTGCTGTGGGGGCTTTCGTCTCAAGGAAAGGCACTCTGGCCTGTGGGGACATGGAACAGCTGCAGCTCTTAAGGAACATTCCTTCGCAGAAGGAGGCCTGCTCAGGTTTCACTGGACTGGCGGGAGGGCCTCCTTCCTGGTCCTGGCCCCCTGAGCTGGAGGGCCGGGGTAGGAACTGGCAGGAGGGATCGCTTTAATGCCTGAGGCAGGATTTAGGCAGGGTAACTCCCAGAACTCAATTTCCTGTCACTTTGGTTTGGGGGTGCCCCCTTTCCATCTCAGTGGTGATCTTGCAGGTAGGGCACCTTCTCCTACCCCCCTCCCACCGGAAAGACTCGCTGGTCCCACCCTTAGGGTCGCTTGGCCACTGGGCAGAACTTCAGGGCCTGGCTGAGGTGACTGCCCCACCCCGCTGGCCTCCTGCTAATCTTGCAAATGCAAACTCCTTGTGTAGGCCAATAGACAAGTCCACCTTCCCCAAGGAGGGATGCACTGATTAGGCCCCCGTTTTCCTAGGGACTCACACAGCTGGAGGGCATCTGGTCGACCAAGCCCAGAATCTCAGTATTCTGTTCACTTTGTACCTCTCTTTTCCCTATTTTCAATAGATTAGCAAATCCAAATGCTTGCTTCCTAATTGGGTTCTTCCCCTCTCGTCTCTAAATCCCGGAGCTACAGCTAAGCAGGGTGGCGCCTCCCTGTGCAGGCCCCAGGACCTGGGCGCAGGCGGTGCAGGATGGCTTCCCAAGGACGAGGAGAGAGTCCCTGAAACTTTTAGTTCTGCAGCTGGGTAGTAGCAGCCTCCCTCACTCCTCATCCCTGTTGCAGCCCCAAAGAGAAAACTCACCAAGCAGGGAACATGCCCTGACCCCACAGAGCTGGATGGGGGCACAGTATGATATCGAGGAGGTGGTGAGGGGGACACATTTGGATTATAGAACATCTACTTTACAACTCAAGGCCGAGTGATTAGCATGCGGGGAAAACCATGAGCCAGCAGTTTGCAACAAAGCTGGCAGGCTGCAGAGATGTTGATCCCCAGGATCATGTTCCAGAGGGAGAAACCCCTCCAGGCCAGGCTGGCACTCAATGGCTAGTTCAGGGTTGGGGGATTAAGATCGAACCATGATGAATGTGTACACACACGCTCGCGCACTCACATGCGTGCACACACATGCATGCACACACACACTCGTTTTCTCTCTCCTCTCTGTACTGGCTCCTGTGCCCGAATCTCAAGGCTGCCTCCTCCACTGGAAAGTCTCTCGGGAGCTGGGTCGCTCCTTCCTTGGAAGGCCCATGCTAGCCACAGCCTACTCAGCGAGATCAGGGACGTGGATGGGGATAGCACATGGTCCAGCTCTCCATACACCTCGGACTTTGCACTGACCCACATCCTTCATCTCAGATCGCTGCCGGTCCTCCTTGCATCTTTTCTGCCTCTGCCTTTCATCACCTCACTTCCCTCCCCAGGTCTGAGTCTCTTCCCTTTTCCTCCAATCCTTCCATTCCTCTAATTCCTCCAATCCTTCCATTCCTCTAATTCCTCCAAGCCTTTCTCTACCTCCCTCTTGAACAAGACCCTCGACATCTGTCTTTCTTTCCCTTTCCCTTTCTTCTATTTCTCCTTTCTCCTCTGGCTTTCTCTTGCCATCTTTCTCATCGTATTACTCCTTTTGACAGATACTTACTGGCCGCCTCTCATGCACAAGACCCCGTGACAACGGCCGCTGGGCATGGGCTATAATAATATATAAAATACTGTCTCTACTCAAATCATGGTTGTGATCTAGGAGAGGAAAATGAGGCGTAGGCACGTGGTTATAATATAGAGTCACGCGTGCTATTACCACACAAATGGCCCAAAGTGCTCCAGCTATTCGTTGGGAGAGAAAAGTCCATTCTGGGTAGAGTGCCAGGGAGGCTCTCCTGGGAGGGCAGCCCTGTTACTGCCCTTGGGGAAGAGCTGGATTTGGTCCTGTAGAGATGTGGGGGCGGCACCAAACAGATGAGTGTGTGATTGTGTGCATGTATGATCATTTGTACGAATGCATGTATGCGCATGTACATATGTGTGATTGTGTGTGTGCATGTGCGATTATGTGAGTGCATGTGTGCAATTGTGTGACTGCATGTGTGTGATTGTGTGTGTGAGTGTGTTTGTGTATGACTGTGAGTGCATGTGAGTGTGTGTGTGTGATTGTGTATGTGCATGTGTGTGTGTGAGGGAGGCTGAGGACAGCCAGAGCAGGCTGGAGAGCAGGGTAGAAAGCCCTGGCAGCAGCCTGTGTGCAATCACCTTATTTACCACTGGCGCCTGGACTAGGTAGGTGGTGCTTTAGAGGAAACGAAAGGCCAAGTTTGGGAAATGACTCGCTGAGTGTCTTTTCCTCTCTTTCCTGCTGCCTTTGTTTCTGCCGATTGTCTGTTTCTTTCTGAGTGGATCAGAGCCTTTCTGCAGTGGCCGCCTCAGGGCCCGCTTCGTGGCAGCAGAGATCTGATGAGGGTCATGATAGGAACCAAAGTGCTTCCTCTCTCCTTGGATCTCAGAGGCACCGAATGCGGGGACCCCAGGGGCTGGCTTCACAGCCAGCGTCTGAGACCTCGCTCATCCAGAGCCCGCTGCGTCTCTGCCAGCTCCAGTGACCCTGCTGCCCAGACCCACATGTCAGCCTCAGGACCCCAACCCTGAGGGGCCGCTGTGACTGCCCAGCCCCCTGGCCTCCTCCTGTCCCACCGTCCTGGCGCACCCCCAACACCAGAGCTTGGGGTAGAGTTGGGAGGGCCCAGGAGGGGAAACCCAGCACCTCTCTAAGGACCTGATTATTTCCAAAGACTGTGCTAATTTTCTGATATGATCCTCACATCTCTGTGAGGCACTAAACCCTCATTACTTTTCCTGACCGATGCATTCTAATTAGATCAACACTTAAAAAAAATTCACAATAGCCACAGGATGGCTTTCCATCTCATTAACTCCTCACTTATTATTTTCATGAAAATTACTGATAAAAATGTGCATCTCCATTTGGTGAGGCCTCACAGCCTCCTCGGCGCCTATCTTGCATCTCTCCCGTCACCCGGGCTGTGCAGCGTCGCCATGGTAACCCACAATAATAGAAACTAATAAATTACAAACGAGATGCTCGTTGAGCAATTATTGTCCTCTTTTATGCAAGTTTCTTGCTAATTTTGATCATAAGGGAAAGTACAATAAGACTCTGAAGGAATGAGTCTATTTCAAGAGAATATTAGCAAGCAGAAGTCTGGGCGGCTGTTTTCAGATCTGTAATAAAGTGATTTGGTGATTTCAAGCAATGGGAAGAGGAAATAAACTTCTTGCCTCATGCCCCGTGCACGGTCGTGTCCCACAGAGATCCCACTGGGGTGGCTGGATGTGATACTTGTTGTCAAAATGTGCAAGGCATGCTGGCCTGTCCCTTCTCCTGCCTCTACCAACTTAGATTGTATGTATTGGTCCTTAAAACTTAAGGATTGAAAACGACACCTTTCTTAGGCACTCTTTCCAGCTCCTCTCACTAATCATTCTTCCCCCCCCCCCCCACTAATCATTCTTGGAAGTTTTACCTGTGTCCCCAAGCCTGACTGTCTTATGAGCAGAGGCCACTGTAAACCTCCTGGGGACCCTCCCATGGGTCTGTCCTGGACTCGGGAACTCGGTGGGAGAGGAAGAAATCGGGAAGCCTATGGCTTATGTGGGTACCAGGGAGTAGGATGGAAAGGCTTCACCAGGCAGCTTTCTCAGTTTGTAAAAAATTCTGCCCATTCTCACCCTGAACACACAGCCACTGTTTCCACATTCCCCAGTTCCTAGGATGAAGGTGGCAGGTGACCCTTGAGGAACAGTGACTTGAGGTGACATTTACAGTGGCCCTGAACCTTAGGGAGACAGATGGGCCTGGGAAGGATGAGCAAGTAAACAATGACCAGGGAGAAATGCCTCAGGGGAAAGCAGTCTTCATCTACTAGGTGGGCAGGATTCAGGACCACCTCCCCGAACACTCCTCCCAGGAAACCAGGGGCTCAGTGAGCCTTCTCGAGAAGTCCATGGGCTGGGCCGGGCCCTTTACCACCTCTGTCCCTGCCTCACCCTCCAGGAAAGCATTCCATCTACTTAACTCTTATGCTCATTCCTCAGCCAAGACGCCAGGAATCACAATCACATTGTCCCTTTCAGCTCTGGTCACCTTCTAGGCATCACTACTGCTCTGTCGTGGTGAGCAGTGGTCAGAAAGGGGCTGTGGTGCTTGATGAACAGGAGGAAGAGTTGACCAGAGTAGGAGCCTCCCGGGGAAAGGATCCAATGAGTCTAATCCATTGTCCTACGTCACCAGGACCTTCGGACATTCCTACATCTGGCTTTTCCTAAGGCCTAGGTAGGACCCCGCCCTGTGGTTACCTGTGAGTGAAGATTTATGGAGGGCTGGTTGGGGGAGTAGGGCCCCCCGAGATCATTCCTGAGCAGGTTGTCGCTGTGCATCTTGGTTTTGAGGCAGGTGATGTAACGGTTACAAAAGTCCTTGCAGAGTTCATTGACTTTCTCCAACTCCAGCAGGTGGATTCTCAGGACCTGGATTGCCTTCACCATCTGTGGGGAGGGAGGAGAGGTGAGCCCAGGTGTTTATATCACATCCCCTTGCTGCCTCGACCCCCAAGCCCCAGGCACACCAGGGGACAGGAGCCCATGCCCCGCCCTAGGTATATGCTTTCTCATCCACATGGTTTGAATTCTCATGACCTACTGCCGATTGCTTGCTGCCTTGAGCCCACTGTTGTCACAGCTGCTCTTGGGCAGTGGTGGTATTCTGAGAGCGGTACTGGCCTTAGAGGTAGAAGACCGGGCCCCCAAACCCCAGGCCTGCCATTTATGATCTGTTTGGCCTTGGGCAATTACTTAAGCAATCTGTGGCTTACTGTCCGACAAATAGGGATAAAGACATCCTCCCTAACAATTGTGCAGGTTGGTTAAGAGGGTCCTATGAGTGGATGCACAAGCTGCAAAGAGTGAAGCCTGAATGAGGGCGAGGGAGACGAGATTAGAGTTCCTTGCAAGTGCCTCAGGGGTCAGGGACTGTCTATTCTTAAATAAGCCTGCTGAGTGCATCACGTGACACAGGTCACCTTGCAGATGTTCATTGATCCTCGCTGACTGAATGACTTAGCCAGGCCTTAGAAAACCTAACTGTGGTGGCCTTTTCCGTGACCTTTGGGTTGGACGTGTACCTGTCACCTCTTCCAGTGGACAGTCCTAACCTTTTCGTGGCAAGAAGCTATTTCTCAATAGAAATTTTTCTCTTTATCATTGTTATTATTATAAAGAGAAAGTGTATGGGATGTATGGAAAATAGAGGATGGAAAACAACAACAAAAATGGCCCTTGATCCAATCATCCTAAAACAATGATAAATGTTCTTTTTCCACATGCATGTATTTTAACACAGTTTTAGTCACATGTGCATACAAGTTTGTGTCCTGTTTTGCCCTTAGTTTACCAGTTGTAGTTTTCTAAGTGGCAAAATTGTTCTCTCTGTTCTCCCTTCTAGACCACGATCTTCTAGAGGCAGGAATGGTGTCTAATTTGCTCACCGTGTTATCCTCAGCACCAACACATGTGTATACTGATTAAATGTTTATTGAATGGGTGGAAGTTATTTAGAAAATATATTTTCTATTTTTTTAAATTAATTTTTAGAGAGGAAGAGAGAGGGATAGAAACATCGATGAGAAACATTGATCAGCTGCTTCCTGCACACCCCCTACTAGGGTTGGAGCCCACAACCCGGGTATGTGGCCTGACCAGGAATTGAACCAGTGACCTCTTTATGGGTTGATGCTCAACCACTGAACCACACTAGCTGGGCTGAGCAAATATATTTTTAATTGTTGCAAATTATTCAATGTGTGCCCTATTTAATCAATTCCTTATCTGGGGGCATTTAGATTACTTCCAATTTTTCAATTTTATAAAAAAATGGTATAGTGACTAAAATCTAAAGCTTATAGATTTTATTCATGTTTCTGCATTAATTCCTTAGGGTGAATTCCGGGAAATGACAGGAAAAACTGCTATGGGCATTGTTTAGGCTCGCGATAAATATCACCAAGTTGCTTTTCAAGTAAGGGCTGTTTAAATGGTGCTGGAGCAACTGGACATCCACAAGCGAAAAGGTGAATCTTGATGTAAATCTCACATCTTACATAAAAATAAACTCAAGTGGATCAAAGAACTAAGTGTAAGACATGAAACTATAAAACTTTTAGGAAAAAAAAACACAGGAGAAAATCATCAGGACCAAGGACGAGGCTTACAGGGCTTACATTCGACACCAAAAGCACAACCTGGAAAAGGGAAACTTGGTAATTGGACCTCATCAAAGTGAAGTGTCTGCTCCTCAAAGACCCCGAGAGGAAGAAGAAAGGACAAACAGGCTAGGAGAAAATGTTTGCAAACCGCGTATGTGACAAAGAGCATATCTAAAATCTATGAAAAGCTTTCAAAACTAAACAGTAAAATAACAAGCAATCCAATTAGAACATGGGCTAAAGACAACCTCAGACTTTTCAAGGAAGAGGATATGCAGATGGCAAATAAGCACATGAAAAGATGTTCAATGTCATTAGCCATCAGGGAAATGCAAATTAAAGCCACGATGAGATATCACTACACGCTTACAAGAATGGTTAAATAAAAAGGAGTGATCACACCAAATGCTGACAAGGGACAGGACACTGGATCCTTCATACATTGCTGGGGGGTATGTAAAACGGTTCCGCCCTTCTGGAAAACCTCATAACAAAACTAAATCTATGTTTACTATACAGCCCAGAAACTGCACTCTTGGGCATTTATCCCAGAGAAATAAAAGTGTATATTTACTAGTACACAAAAACCTTATTTCTCATAGCCCCAAACTGGAAAAAACAACAAAATATACTTCGGCAGGTGAATGAATAAAGCAATTGTGGTACATCCATATCATGGACTAGTACTCAGCAACAAAAAGGAACAAACTGTTGATACAATCAAAAACTTGGGTGGATTTCAAGGAAATTATGCTGAGAAAGAAAAACCAGTCTCAAAAGATTATATACTGTAAGATACCATTTATGTAACATTCTTGAAATGGCAAAATTATAGAGATGAAGAATAGATTAATGGTTGTGGACAGTGGGGTGGGAGAATTGCTCAGTATCTTGACTACCCTAGTGTGTACATGAATCTACACGTGTGATAAAATTGCACAGAACTACACACACACACACACACACACACACACACACACACACAAACACACACACACGGCCGTAAAACTGATGGAATCTGAGTAAGGTTGGCGGATTGTATTTTGTCTACTTCCTGGTTGAGAAACTGTTCTATACTATAGTCGTGAGAAGGGAATCGGGACCTTTCTGTACCATTTCTTACGAATACATGTGAATCTCCAATTATATATATATAAAAGAGTAAACAAAAAGAGTGGTGCTCAGTGGTTAGAGCGTCTTGGGTTTGATTCCAGGCCCTAGTTGGGGTGCAAACAAGAGGCAACCAATCGACGTCTCTCTCTCACATTGATGTTTCTATTTCTTCCTCTCTCCCCTCTACTCTCTCTAAAAAAAAAAAAACTCATTGAAAAATACCCATTGAGGATATCCAATAAGGATTAAAGAGAGAAAGGGGGGGAGGGGCTTGTTGCCTTTGGAGAGCCATTTATGTCGCCATAAGTAATATACAAGAGTCCCTGTTTAACCCTCCCCTCCCACTTCTGGCTGGTATTTGGATGCCCAGGAAAACAAGGAGGGAATCTCTTGCAGAGAAATTCCGACTTCCGCTGTGCAGAGAGCTGCCAGCGCCACACCCCTCTCTGAGCCTCATTGGCATTTCAAGTGGAAAGTGCCTGGGTTGGCATTTGAATTGTCTGATGGGCAGGGACTATACTCAACTAATTAAGGGCTCTTGGAGTTATGAATTAGACTAAGTGTCACTCAAAGGCCGAAACCAACAATTTTGGGTCTTCACGCAGGGCTCAATCACAGGGTCTTGTCCTAAGTGCTCCCTCCATGGGGCTGAGCCGATGGAGCCTGGGCTCTCCCAGGCACAGAGAATACTGACTTTGGTATTGATTATTTGAACTAAAAAATGGGGTTAGGCACTGAATAAATATTTGCTCTTGCCCGAATTATCTACTTGACTTTGGCCATGAAGATCCTGTTTTGTATCTAGAGTAATTATCACAGTACAGGTGTTTATTAAATGCTCACTGATTGGTAACAATACCCAAACATTTCTTATTCTATGCCCCAGTCCCTGTACTAGACCTATGGCATGCCTTATCTTATGTGCCTCACAACCACCTCCGCATTTTACAGTTGGAAGAAAATGAAGCTCAGAGGTATTGTTTACTTGTTTAGAGTCACACAGCTGGTAAGCGACAGAGCTAGGATGTGAAGCCAGGTTGCCTGTGTTGCTCTGCTCTCAATCCCGGCCCTTGGAATTTATGTGTACAAAATGGCAGTTTAAAGGTGCATGGTTTAGGGAGAAAGTGACTCAGTGACTGGAATTATGGGATTCCAGAAAAACCAACTAGCTTTGGGGATATTGAAGTTATTTCCAGATTCTGCCCTGGCAACCTCCCCTCATTCAGCTGCTCTGACTTCTCTCTCACTCCTGGTCTAGCCCAGGAGTCAGAATCCCTCACCCATGCAGGCGTCTGCTTCCTCATGCGGAAGAAGAGAGGAATGGGCTGTCAGGTGCCTCCGATGTTCTGACTCTGAGCATCACCAGGACTCCTGCCCTCAATTCACGGACGGCGTGGAAGGGGCACTGGGAGACGATCTGGCCGCCTGTGGTGAGCAGAAGGGCCAAGCCTCTAGGACACAGGCTGCATGGTCTCCAATCAGAACCTCATCATGGCAAAGCTCTCTGTTCTCTCAACCTGCTTGTTGAATTCTTCCATGAAGTGACCAAATTCTCTCCTGCCTTAACAGAAAGCGCTTGCTCAGCCTCCTGTGGGCACCAAGAACATCTAGTGCTTCTATCAGCACCGGCTCCCTTAATTCAATGTTATCCATTCAACCTGAATATTGTCTCACAACGTGCCATAGGCTGGAGAAAGCACCTGCCTGGAATAAACTGTCCAATTAGCTTTATCTTTTCCAGGCAACAGAATCCTGGTTCCTTCAACCTTTCGTCTTTTCCCCTTTTCTTCTTTCTTCTTACATCTTCCTTTCTTCTTTCTTTCTGTTTTTTCTTCCCTTCTTTCTCTTAGCTTTCCTGTGCTGGCCCAGTCTTCATTTTTAATCAACATTTTATTCACTCATTTATTTTTAAATCTTCTCATGAAGCAATACACCCATATTCACACACAGAAAAGTACACACATTTATTTTAAAAACATAGCCAATAAGGACTTATTAAAAGAATCAGAAAATACAAATCAGTAAAACAAACTCAAAAGTAAAATCCACCTGGATAGCTTTGCTGAAGTGAAATAGACATGCACTGGGATTAAGCTGGGTCTGGTGCTCGGTGCTCAAAGTGGACCCACCACTCGGTCTGACACCTCACAGTGGATTATGGAATAATAGACT